TCAGCCTCCCAAAGTGCTGGGATTACAGGTGTGAGCCACCGTGCCCGGCCACAATCTTCCATTTTTAATAATTGTTTATGTCTTCTTTCCAATTTGGCTACAAACTTTTTTTTTTTTTTTTTTTTGAGACAGTCTCATTCTGTCACCCAGGCTGGAGTGCAGTGGCACGAACACAGCTCACTGCAGCCTCAACCTCCTGGGCTCGATCAACCCTCCAGAGTAGCTGGAACTACAGGCTTAAGCCACAATGCCTGGTTGCAAACATCTTGATAGTGCTGAGTACATATCTGCTATTAATCGACTGGCCTCAGAAGCAAATCACAGTACAAAAGAAATGATAAACCAAAGTAATTGCTTTAATGTTAAAAATATTTATTTTTTTTCCTAAAAGATCACACAAAAGTTGGGAAGAGAAGGATGTCAACTAGACTACATCAAAATCTGGGCAGAGGGAGGACAAAGAGCTGCCTAAAGAAACTGGTAGCTGGAGCAAACTGCAGAGATCAAGATGGCCCTAGTCAACGGAACCAGCAGCCCAGGTCAGCCACATTCAGGAGCACCACCGAGGCACGGCAAGGAAAGCGAAGTTGCTGGCCCCAATCATTCCTCCTTTTCAGGGCAGGAGAGGCAGAAGCTCACTCTTTAGACATGTTCTTGATGGTCTTGTGCTCTTTCATGGCCTTCTCCCAATCACTGCCATTGAATTCCTCAGTGACCATACTCCGCACAGTGCCCTCATCCAGGCAGTGGGGGGCGATTCCTAGGAGAAAGTGGCACAGACAAAGAGGGATCCTCAGTATGAGTGAGACCAGATGGTGTACTGGCTCCTGGATAAGCTCCCACCTGCAGGCATCATCATGCTACACATTAGGGATTCCAAAGGATATGCCACAGCTTATGGCTTCAGCGATGAGACCCACAGGCTGCCAGCTGGCTCGGAAAGCACTGGCTCTAGCCTACCGCTTCAGCCCTCTGGCTCACTTTCCTCAGCTGCCAGATGGGAATCACACTCCCTGAACCAGGGATGGCCAAGGCTAGACATCATTCAATACCAAGCTGACAGTACAACATGCAGAAAGGCACAGCCCAGAGCAATCTCTGACTGGCGGCCTAAAGAATTCACAGGCCTTTCCTGTGTTTAGATAGACAACTTTCCTTCCTTTTTTATGAGACAGAGTTTAGCTCTTGTTGCCCAGGCTGGAGTACAATGGTGTGATCTTGGCTCTTGGCAACCTCTGCCTCCCGGGTTCAAGTGATTCTCCTGCCTCAGTCTCCCAAGTAGCTGGGATTACAGGTGTGCACTACCAAAGCCTGGCTAATTTTGTATTTTTAGTAGAGACAGGGTTTCTCCATGTTGGTCAGGCTGGTCTCGAACTCCTGACCTCAGGTGAGCCACCACGCCTGGCCTTAGATAGATAACTTTCTAAGAATTAAATGTCTTCCCATTTGTACAAGATTTCATACTTTTCAAAACTCTTTCCTGTTCTGCGGGGTAGACAGGAATGAGTCTCCATGTGACAGATGAGGAACAGAGCCCCTGAAGCAATGGGGGTGCGGTAAGGATGACACCATGCACCCCTCTGCAAAAGACACTGACATAAAGCAAAAGACACTGACAGTCACAGCTGCTCTCGCAGCTCTGGAGGCTGCACTGACACAGAGAACAAGAGTCCTCAGGAACATCTTCCACCTCTGCTTTCCCCTTCAATTCACACTACAATTGGTATGATTCTCAACAACTGTCAGACCCAAGTAGGCCCTGAAGCGGGGCTTGGAGGGTCCCCTGCTTGTTTATTTTTTAGAAAGAACAGAGATAGGGTCTTGCTATGTTTCCCAGGCTGGTCTCAAACTCCTGAGCTCAAGAAATCCTCCCACTTTGGCCTCCCAAAGTGCTGGGATACAGGTGTGAGCCACCGCAGCCAGCCAGTCCTGCCTAATTTTTGAACAACCAAAAAGCTTTCAAATGGCATTATCAATGCTCCCCAATCTTGCCTCCTTCACTCCCTTAACCCCTGTCATTATTAAACCTGCCTTCCCTGGCCCCACAAGCCCATCTCCCCACCCCTCTACTCCCTACTCTTCAACACGATCCCCAGCAACACCAGCTCTGGCAGCACCAGTGAATGAGAATCACAACCTGGATGGGCTCCGAGTCCAACTTCACCACATTCAGATATGGGATTCAGACAAGTTTCACCAGAGCCCAACTCACATTCTATCACGTGGAAAGCGCTCTGCTGAGGGGCCCTGTTCCTCTAAGATACGCATGTGACAGGGTCTAGTCAGTGTCCCCCTGTCCAACCAAGACTTTAAGTGAGAGCACCACGGGCCTCTCTGTGTCCCCCTGAGCTTGCAGTCCATCCCCATTACTCACCGAAGCCTCCAGGGTTTGAGCGTGGAGTATAGAAGCTCTGAACGCCACATCTCTTACAGAAGGTGTGCTGGGCTTTGTGAGTATTGAATGTGTAAGTCGTTATGTGCTCAGCTCCCTAGGTGAAAACAGACAAACAGGTGTTCTTTTTTACAAAGAGCTTTGTTTATTTATTTATTTATTTATTTATTTTTCGAGACAGAGTCTCCCACTGTCTCTCAGGCTGGAGTGCAGTGACACGATCTTGGCTCACTGCAACCTCCGCCTGCCCAGGTTCAAGAGATTTTCCTGCCTCAGCCTCCCAAGTAGCTGGAATTACAAGTGCGTGCCCCCAAGCCCGGCTAATGTTTTGTATTTTTAGTACAGACAGGGTTTCACCATGTTGGCCAGGCTGGTCTCGAACTCCTGACCTCGTGATTCATCTGCCTCGGCCTCCCAAAGTGCTGGGATTACAGGTGTGAGCCACCATGCCTGGCCACAAAGAGATTTTTTTTGTCACTTAAAAAATACATCTTTGGCCAGGCATGATGGCTCATGCCTGTAATCCCAACACTTTGAGAGACGGAGGCAGGCGGATTGCTTGAGCCCAGAAGTTCAAGACCAACCTGGGCAACATGGCAAAACCCTGTTTCTACAAAAAAACCTCCAGAAATTAGCCAGGTGCAGTGGCGCACACCTGTAGTCCCAGCTACTTGGGTGGCTGAGGTAGGAGCATCAGTTGAGCCTGGGGAGGTGGAGGCTGTGGTGAGCTGAGACTGCACCATTAAAAAATATATATTGAAAAAAATTTAATGGGGGGAGGTCTTTTGTAGGGCTCTTTGTATTAAGAGGCCACTTCCTATCTCCTGTAAAAGACTGGGACCTTCTTGAGGACAGAGACCCATCTACACTATACAGAGTCATGTCAGTCTGGAGCGTGACAGCTTACAGCTTCCCTTAGGTCAGCTGCACACAGAATTGAGCCTTGAGCCTTCCCTCATACATCACATCAGGGAGGGAGAGAGCTTGCTTCCTAGGGCCTATGAGGAGAAACACTTCACCCAAGGGTCTGGCTCTCCATGTCCCCAAACAGAACGACTCAAGGTCTTAAGAAAACAGATGGCTGTGCTTAATTTATCCACAAAGGACAAACCAGGAAAAAAATATTTGCCAGACATCATAGATAGGCTAATTTCCTTAATGGATAATACAAATGGGAGACTGGACAAAGGACATGAATGGCCAGTTCAGATAGAAAAATAAATCACTCTTTAGCCTATGAAATGCTCACCCAAATGAACTTCAGTGAGATGTATTTCACTGTCAGGTGGGCAAAATCAAAGCTGTTAACATGGTATTGACAAGTATGTAGAGAAATGTGTGCTCTCATACATCAGTCACAGGAATAGGAATTGGTACAATTCACCAATATCTACCAAAATTTTAAAGCGTACATACGCTTTAGCACATAATTTCATTTCTTGAAATTTATCTTACAAATATATTACAAATGTCTCAATGACATAGGTATATAGATACTATAGCACTGTTTATAAAGTCTAAAGATTGAAAAAATTGAAAATGTCCATCAATAGAGGATCCGTTAGGCATTATGGACACTCATAAAATGGAATATTCTCCGACTTTTGAGAAGAATGAGACAGCGCTACAAATACTAACATGGAACAATTGCCAAGGTTACAAAGTTAAGCAAGGTATAGGCCAGGCACAGTGGCTCATGCCTGTAATCCCAGCACTTTGGGAGGCCAAGGTGGGCAGATCACTTGAGGTCAGGAGTTCAAGACCAGCCTGGCCAACATGGCGAAAACTCGACTCTACTAAAAATATAAAAATTAGCCAGATGTGGTGGCGGGCACCTGCAGTCCCAGCTACTCAGGAGGCTGAGGCAGAAGAATCACTTGAGCCTGGGAGGCGGAGGTTACAGTGAGCCGAGATCACACCATTGCACTCCAGCCTAGGCGACAAGAGTGAGACTGTCTCAAAAAAAAAGTTAAGCAAGGTATAAAACAATGTATGTGGTATACTACCATTTCTTTTTTCTTTTTTTTTTTTTTTTTTTAAGGCTATATACTGGTATGTGTGTTGTTTTTTGTTTTTGTTTTGTTTTGTTTTGTTTTTTGAGACAAGGTCTCACTATTACCCAGGCTGAAGTGCAGTGGTATGATCACGGCTTACTGCAGCCTTGACCTCCCAGGTTCAAGTGATTCTCCCACCTCAGCCTCCCGAGTAGCTGGGACTATAGGCATGCAACACCACGCCTAGCTGATTTTTTTATTTTCTGTAGACATGGGGGTCTCACTGTGTTGCCCAGGCTGGTGTTGAACTCCTGGGCTCAAGTGATCTGCCCGCCTTGGCCTTCCAAAGTGCTAGGACTACAGGCATGAGCCACCCTGCCTGGCCTGTATGTGCTTTTATATGCATGTGTATCTTTGAAGAGGGATCCAAGAAACAATGGCCTACCTTTAGGGAGAGAAATCAGACAGCTGAAGGGGAGGGGGTAGAGGTTTCTTATCATTGTTAACCCTCTTTACGCTTCCCCAGCCACTAACATACCATCCAGAATTGTGCTTCCTATAGAAATAGCTCACTGAGGAGCCTTGCTCACTCCATAGCCACTGCAGCACAGAAAAGCAGCAAAGCACTGCCAGGTGGTCCCAAGCCATCCAACATTATCTGGATGGAATTAAAGCGTTCTCTCTCTCTCTTTTTTTTTTCACTGCTCCTTGTAGAGCAGGGTATAGAAGTGTGCCCAGAATAGCCAAATAACTTATTTCTAAGAGAACTGATCCTGAAGAAAAAATTTCTAAATTGTCAAAAATTTATACCAAGGAGGTTCACCACAGTGTTGTTGATAATCAGAAAAAAACTAGACTCAACCTAGAAGTGCAATGATGCAGAGACAGTGATGGGATAAGTAGACTAGGAAATCGGCTGTGGGGAAGAGGGAGACTGGGGCATGGGCACAGTAGGGAAAGACTTTTCACTGTGTATATATACATTTTCTTCTACCTTTCAAATTTTGTACCAAGTACAAAAAATTCCCCAAAATAATAAAATTAAAGTTAAAAATATGTATATAAGCTTTTCATTGGGAAATGAGATAAGCAGATTATCAACAAAAAGAATGGTAAAATTCTATTTAATAAACATAAGACAATAGGTTTGGATGTAGTCTCAGATGTATTTTCTCAGAGTAGAAAATAATACACAAGGACAGACACCAAAATATTAACAGTGGTTACCTTTAGTTGATAGAATTTAGGTGATTTTATTGTTTTTTGATTCTCTGAATTTGAAAATGTTTCCACAATACCAAATAGGCCTCCAAAAAATAAAGGTAAAAAATAACACAACCTTTTATTTTTTATTTTCATTTTTTTTGAGATGGAGTTTCGCTCATCAACCAGGCTGGAGTGCAATGGCGCGATCTTGGCTCACTGCAACCTCCGCCTCCCAGGTTCAAGTGATTCTCCTGTCGTGGCCTCCCAAGTAGCTGGGATTACAGGCATGCGCCACCATGCTCAGCTAATTTTTGTATTTTTAGTAAAGATAGGGTTTCACCATGTTGGCCAGGCTGGTCCTCAAATCCTGACTTCAGATGATCCACCCATCTTGGCCTCCCAAAGTGCTGGGATTACAGGCGTGAGCCACTGCGCCCAGCCCACCTTTTAAATGTCAATCTGAAACCAAACCCGTGAGAGGCCCTGCTAAGCTCCAGGCCCCTCCCATGCTACAGAGGGCATGCTGAGGGTTCGTTGGGGAGTGTTGTAAATCTCACCAATGGGTTCTGCACTCCTTGACCCTGCTCTTAAGCACTGACCTTCAGGAGCTTGAAGCGAGAAGCTGGAACAATGAAGTGTCTATTCTGCTTCTTCTTGCAAATGCTGCAGCTACAGAAAGAGAGCAAATTCCAGATTGTGAGCAGCCACCTGCGTCCTCTGTGCCTGAGCAGCCCAGCCTGATACGTTTTCAGAGCCAGCCGACCCCACAGATAAGGCTCTTTTCAGTACCATCCAGGGCTGAGGAGCTGGGGCAAAGGCCTGGATATCCAGGGCCTCTGGTTTGCAGGTACAGCAGAGCCCGGGGGGGTCCCAAGTCAGCAGTCGAGGCTCCACAATGCTCAGAACACAGGACCAACAGACACGTCTGTACTGCCCACCCCCCAGTTCTTTATAGTGAAGGAGAAGCGCTGGACTTCAGAGACACTTAGAAAACAAATTTCAGACACTTCTACAACCTGATGTCTCTGAGACATCCACATCAAAAATGGACAAGGATGTTTAGGTTGCCCTCTTTCTTCATCACCATGTCACAAAAAGTCCAGCTCCAAGTAAAACACGTCCCCAGAATTACCATCTCTGGAATTAAACTGAAGTCCCCTCTTTTCAGGCCACCTTTGAAAAAGTTCTAATTTAGTATAGAATCCTCTCACAAGTTATTCCACAGTGCTTCTTTTCCAATCTGGACTCTATTGTTAGTAGCCTGGTCAGTTCTCCATTTGAGTAATTCCATCGTATGTGCTTATTATTCATATATAATTCCGGTACCTAGGGGCAAAAAGGACTGGATGCTGTTAAATAATTAGCTGCATGCCAACTTTGGGTCCCAAAGCCAGAGCCTGTCGTCCCTGCTCCATCATAATGCCGGGGAAGGTGGTACAAATCAGGCCCTCCACAGCCAGCAGCACCATCTGCCTCAACCAAAGAGCAGAGCGAGAGTGTAGGGCCTGGGGAGCCTCTAGGTGTACACACCCTTCACTAAAGCACCCTCCAATTATCCCCAACTCCAGACTCCTACGAAGATTCTGCCCAAGGCTTTCCATTCAGTACCCAGCCAGGCACACCTGCAGCTAACCGCCCCCGGCTCCTCAGCAGTGTCAGTCTGAGGGTGACGCTGCCACAAGTCACAAGCCCTGAGGACCCTGCTCTGTCTCACCTGGGCCATGCTGTTGAAGCTCTGTGGTGAGCCACACAAAAGGAGAAAGAATAGAACAATGAACCTTTCTGTCCCCATCACCTGACTTCAGCAGTTACCAGCCCATGGCCAATGTTTCCTCTGTACCCCAACTCCCCAGATTATTTTGAAATACTGCATTTTAACTCTGAAATTCTTTTAAGTCAATTTAGGGGGAAAAAAAATACTCACTTGCAGTCAAATATATGCAAGTCTGCTGAGGCCCAAACTTCAAAACGAACTGCTCCACAGTGGCAGCCTCCTGTGTGCTTCACCAGGCCCTGGTATTCACTAAATGAAACAAAAATCAGAAAGATAAGAATTTCTGAATAGCTACCTCCTGCTCTCTTTCTTTTCGTTGTTGAATGAAAGACGTAAGATGAGACAAAAGTCTTTTCTACATGACAACCAAATGCACTTCTGCTGTTAAGGAGATACTGTCAATTTTCTAAGTCAAGAATGGTTTCAGCACCTTCTTTATCTATGAGCTCTCTTTTCTCCAATTTCTTAAATTGTATTAAGTTGCAAAATAGAACATTCCAAACATTTTGAAAATGTGAGGGATCCTAACCCACTACCAAACATTTTTATTTATATGTCAAATACAAATTTTTTTTTTTTTTTTTTTTTTTTTTGGAGATGGAGTCCCACTCTATTGCCCAGGCTAGAGTGCAGTGGTGCAATCTTGGCTCACTGCAACCTCTGCCGCCTGGGTTCAAGCAATTCTTCTGCCTCAGCCTCCCAAGTAGCTGGGATTACAAATGCCTGCCACCACACCCTGCTAATTTTTGTATTTAGTAGAGATAGGGTTTCACCATCTTGGCCAAGCTGGTCTTGAACTCCTGACCTCACGATCCACCCACCTTGGACTCCCAAAGTGCTGGAATTATAGGCATGAGCCACCACTCCCAGCCTCAAATACTAAAAATTTTTATGAGCTGGGCACGAAGGAGAGAACAGTAAACAAGACACAGCAGACACGATTGCTGCCCTTACTGACATTAACAAATTACTCAAATAATAATTAATTATGATTGTGATAAAGGAGGTACAGGCTGCTATGAAAATTAAGACTGGGTACTCAATCAAGTCCAGAGGTTCCGAAGAGCCTTTTGAGAAAGTTAATAAAGGCTCATATTTTTACTCTATTTCTTTCCACTATTCTTCATACACATGCGTTTTATGTAGTTGTAATACACATTATATACAATTTTTTTTTTTTGAGACAGAATTTCATTCTTGTTGCCCAGGCTGGAGTGCAGTGGCACAATCTCTGCTCACTGCAACCTCTGCCTCCAGTATTCAAACAATTCTCCTGCCTCAGCCTCCCGAGTAGCTGGGATTACAGGCATGCTCCACCACACCTGGCTAATTTTGTATTTTTAGTAGAGAGGGGTTTCTCCATTTGGTCAGGCTGGTCTCAAACTCCCCACCTCAGGTGATCCGCCCGCCTTGGCCTCCCAAAGTGCTGGGATTACAGGCATGAGCCACCTCACCTGGCCTATATACCATTTTAATCCTTTTAAAGCTTATATATAAGCCAAACTCAGAAATGAACATTAAGATCTGATAAATGTCATAAAATCGCTTTCCAAAAGGACTGAACACTCTTACCCGATATACAAATGAGAAAACATTTCACAGTACAGTCTCCAGCAATAATCATAGGAAAAATAGCTCACTGCAGTTTTAATTTGCATGATTAAGACTGATCATTTTTTCATGTTTCTTTACAAGTTTACGTATTTTAATTTTGGGGGCATACATAATGCTTATTGTAAAAAATCCAAACTTTACAGTATCTGAGAGTGCTCAAAGTGAAAGCCTCCTGTAATCTTTACCCCCAGAGGGATCTACAGGTCATTATTTGCTATATATTCTCCCAAACTTTTTTCTATACAATATTGTAACGAAAATGGTACAGTTATACACACTTTTTGAATGTAATGTAGTGGACTTTATAAGTACAAAGTCATGGCAATCTAGTGGGAGAAAAACATCTCTTTTATGTCACTATTTTAAATTTTTTTCTTGACCATTTATCAGTTTGTCTTAAAGTAAAAATTTACCTCAAATTTGAGTTTTACATTCCTTTTTTTTTCTTTTTCTGTATGCCTTGAAGACACCATGAGTTTTACATTCCTAAGGATCTTCATATTCCTTCTGCCCAGAGGCAGCCGTTACCCCATAGGTGCTCAAAAAATGTTCGATGGATGAACGTTTTTTAAAAATTCAGTGTGCAGTCCAAGATGAAAAACCAAGAAGTGAAGCATAGAGAAAACCAAATATGTATGAAGCACACAGAAAACCAAATATATATCTTCTGTCGGGGACGACCCATCCTAACTAAGAGAATTTCTTCTGCAAGCAGCTCAAAGGAACATGTTCAAGAAAAGAAGTAATTCTCAGGTTATGCAACTGCTAGGTTATTCTTGTCGGTCTTTCCCCCTAGTGTTTTGATTGTTCTTTTTAATTTGTAAAATTAACACTGAAATACATTATCAGGCCGTTAAAATATCTCTCCGTGGCACAACTTTTCCCCGAGGCAGGAATCCAGATCACATTTGGAGAAAAGCCCTTTAACAGCCCAGTTAACAGCTCTTTTCTAACTTATGGACACTCGGGATGCTCATTGGGCCATCTAAAAGACTGCGGAGCAGCCAGGACGACGAGCGGCCGGGAGCATTAGCTGGCGGAGCACATAAAAGCCTCCTTGCGCAGGCATCCCCGCCGCCGCCGCCGGAGCATCTCTTTGCGCGCGCTTCTCTCCCGGATCAATAACCCCCGCCCCCTGCTCCCTCCCTGGCAGTGCCTGGAACAATGACGGGATTTCGCTTTCCAGTTAGTTCAAAACTACTCATGCTTCCTTCAGCGATTCTACCTTTCCCTTCCACCCACCCTCAAAAACACGTGTGCAAACATTAAAAAACGGGATTCGGGTAAGAGAAAGCCGTGGGATATATCTTCTTTTCATTAGGAAAGGCCCCCACACCCTTTGCGCGCCAGCAAGAGACAACGTCCCCGAGCACGATGCTTGTGGCCGGGAAAGACCCTTTGTGTCCCAAGACGGCCGCGCGCGCCCTCAAGCTCCGGACGAAGCCCCCTTTCAATTCCCGGACCACAGCCCTAGAAGCACCGCCCCGCCGCCCTTAGAATTAGCGAACAACCCCAGTGCTAACGGGGGAGCCGCGTCGGCTCCGTAACGTGGAAGGATCGGAGCTGAAAGGCGCCCAAGGCCTGCGCGCGGGCGGCGAGCCCGACTCCTGCC